AAAAGACATCTTTAAAGTCTTAAAAAGCTAGTCTCTTTATATATATATGTTTTCAAACTCAATAGAAAACAAAGGAGAGGAGTGATGTTCGTTCTATCTTGCTAAGACTTTTGAAAAACAGGATTCCAAGATGCTTGCTGGAAAAGAGAAAACCTTGAATGTATGCTACTCAAAGTTCTTAATAAGAAGTTTTCTAACTCTGGGTTTAGGAGCTCTGGTGGTGTAGTGCCTAAGGCATTTTGACTGCTAACCAGAAGGCTGGCGGTTGAAACTCACCAGCCACTCCTGGGAAAGAAGATAGAGCACTCTAGTTTGGACAATCTACTTCCGTAGAGATATCGCTTCTGAAACCCAAGGAGGGGTCGCTGTGAGTCTGGACCGACTGGAGGGCAGTGAGTTGGGTTTTTTTCGGTAGTTTGCCAGACTTCTCCAATTGTTAAACTCTGCTCTTGAGCATCTGTGAGGATGCAGATTCCAGGAAACAGGCACTAAATACAGCAGTTCTTGAAGTGTCTTCAGGATGAATATAACATGCAGTGTCGCCGAGTGCCTCACTTCCTCCCCCGGCCTCACTTCCCTCGGCTCCTGCCACGCCCCACTGCTGTTGCTGGGAACCGCGAGGCGGGTGGCTCCGCGCGAGCGAGGGCGGGGGCGGCCGCGCTCAGCTGGAGCCCGGGAGCCAGGCCGGCTGCAGGCGAGGCTCGGCAGCTAGCGCTCCAGGGAACCCAGCCGCGAGCTCTAGACCTGCCGAGTCCGACCTCTCCACCACTGCGGACAAGACCGGGACCGGGAGGATCCAAGGAAGCCTTTGTGACCCACGGCGGCGGCTGAGCGCAGCCCAGATGTGCCAGAGAGCCTCAGGTGAGCGGCCTTGCCCAGCTCAGCCCCCACCTCGGTACCCAACAGGTGGGCGGGGGCGCGGCTCCAAGGGACCCGGGGGGGCACACTTGGAGGTTCCCTTGGGCGCGGGCACTCGGTTTCCTCCTTTACCGAGGCGCCGTTCCTATTTAAACCCCTGCCCCAACCCACGCCTGTTCTATCCTTGCCTAGTTGCCTCCCCTTCTAAATTGAGAGCTGTGCTGTGTGCCCGAGAACGCGCCCAGAACGCACGCTGCCCCGGAAACTTGTAGGCGCAGAAATGGCTGGAGCGGAGGTCGCAAAGTGCCTTAGCGTGGTGGGCACCAAGCGGGGTGGGGGCCGGCAGTGGTGACCCCAAATCAGTGATTCCCTGGGACTTCAACCAAGGGCAGTGGTTGTTGTTGTTGTTGTTGTTATGTGCCGTCGAGTCGGCCCCGACTCATAGCGACCCCTCCTTGGGTTTCCGAGGCAGTATCACTACGGAAGTAGGATTGCCCAACCTTCCTTCCGAGGAGTGGCTGGTGGGTTTGAACCGCCAGCCGTCTGGTTAGCAGGCAAGTGTCTTAGCCACTATGCTACCAGAGCTCCCAAGGGCAGTGGTTAATGATCTTTAATCTCAGTCACGGGGTCACAGCCTGAGGGAGGATGGAGGGGAAGATGGAGAGTGATTGACACCCTAGAAAGCGAGTGAACTGGAGCAAAAGAGGAGATGCTTCCCCTCGCCGAAGCACCCTCCCCCACGTGCGCACGCCCCCACCGAACCGCTCCCGGGAGTTAGAACAAGTCGCGGCGGAGAAAAAGGGAGAAATGCATAGCCTCGAGTCGGAAGGGACTCAGACCCGGTTACCATCTCCTGTGTTTTCAGAACTTTTCGGTTGGGGTTCCTGAGGGCTGGGGTGAGTCTCGCCAACCCCCTTCCTGGCATTCCGCTTAGTGTCATCCTGCGCCCCCTTCTCCAGTCTCGACGCCTCCTCCCCTTCCCCCCAGTAGCTCGGCATCCAATCCGTAGGGCTCCCGGGCTGGCGGCGACCCGCAGCGCGCCCCGGGGCTGGCCTGGGCTGGGACCACACCTGCGCGCCTCCTCTGCGCGCCGCCCCTGCACTTGGCCGCAGGGCTCTCCCAGACCCCAAGGGGCAAGGGGGAAGCGAGCGCGGGGGGTGGGAAGAGGAGGAGGAAGCCGGTGGGAAGCACCCGCCAACTTTCCATCCCGGGAAACCCCGGCTGCCGCCCGAGGCTGCGCCACCGCCCGCGCGGGACCCCGGCCCCGGCGCGCTCTCAACTTTGTGGTGCCCTCAGGCAGCGGCCACCGGGATGGATCTGCCTCTCTGCGGTCGGGAGCCGCCGGACTCGTCGCTGGACAGCGACTCCCTAGACTCGCTGGAGTCTAGCGTCTTCTGCAGCGAGGGCGAAGGGGAACCCTTGGCGCTCGGGGACTGCTTCACCGTTAACGTGGGCGGCAGCCGCTTCGTGCTCTCGCAGCAGGCGCTGTCCTGCTTCCCGCACACGCGCCTGGGCAAGCTAGCGGTGGTGGTGGCCTCCTGCCGCCGCCGGGGGGCCCTGGCCGCCGTGCCCAGCCCCCTGGACTTCTGCGATGACGCCAACCCGGTGGACAACGAGTACTTCTTCGACCGCAGCTCGCAGGCGTTCCGCTACGTCCTGCACTACTACCGAACCGGCCGCCTGCACGTCATGGAGCAGCTGTGCGCGATCTCCTTCCTCCAGGAGATCCAGTACTGGGGCATCGACGAGCTCAGCATCGACTCGTGCTGCAGGGACAGGTACCCGCGAGGCCCGCGGAGGCGGGCGGGGAGGTGGGCGCACTGGGGGCGGGGAGGCGGTGGTAAAGCTCAGCGGGTTGAAACAAACATCTTTGAACTCGGGCCTATGAATAGGTGTGGCCACTTCTAGGCTGGACAAGGGGAAGGGAGGGGAGTTGCAAAGCGTCAAAGACAACTTTTGAGTGGAACTTTTTGTGCCTTGTTTTAGAGTTGGTGAAGAGCAAATTCATATACACGGCAAGGGAGGTCAGGCCCACACTAAACATTGGTAATTGAATGAATGAATCAGTAAAGCAGTGCTCAAAAAGATGTTTGTCTTGGAATGCAGGTTTGGGGTGGGGAATTATCACTGATCAAGACTCATCTGTTAACTTTGAAAGACTTGGATAGAGAACTAGTTCAAATACGCAAGACAGAAGGATGGTCCTTTGACTGTGAAAGTTTATGTTTACTATTACTACTATTTCTTCATGAATACCTTTTCTTTACATTTTTTTTTTTTAAAAAGTTCTATACTGCAAACACCTATTCTTCTTACAAGAAAATTGTTTAATAATATACAGTAATCCAAAGGAGTTTTGCTATGTCTAAATTGTAGGTAGAAAGTATTGTGGTTTCCTTTTTCTATAACTATAATCCTAAATGAGAAATGTTGAATACTGTGAACAGGAGACAGCCTGGGTAAAATACGATTGGGCATTTCACTGAATGGAGACTCATTACTAAGCTCAATTCCATTCTATTTCTGTATTCTCAATTTTTTAAAAGTTAGACTAATCACTGAATTGTCTTCTCTAAAAGATACTTCAGGAGAAAGGAGCTGAGTGAAACTTTAGACTTTAAGAAGGACACAGAAGACCAAGAGAGTCAGCATGAGAGCGAACAGGACTTCTCCCAAGGACCTTGTCCTACTGTGCGCCAGAAGCTCTGGAATATCCTGGAGAAACCTGGGTCTTCCACGGCTGCCCGCATCTTTGGGGTCATCTCCATCATCTTTGTAGTAGTGTCCATCATCAACATGGCCCTGATGTCGTCTGAGCTAAGCTGGCTGGACTTGCAATTACTGGAAATCCTGGAGTACGTGTGCATTAGCTGGTTCACCGGGGAGTTTGTCCTGCGCTTCCTGTGTGTGCGGGACAGGTGCCGCTTCCTGAGAAAAGTGCCCAACATCATAGACCTCCTTGCCATCTTGCCCTTCTACATCACCCTTCTGGTGGAGAGCCTGAGCGGAAGCCAGACCACCCAGGAGCTGGAAAACGTGGGGCGCATAGTCCAGGTTCTGAGGCTGCTCAGAGCCCTCCGCATGTTAAAGCTCGGCAGACATTCCACAGGTATTCAGCCTCCTTGGCGCTTTGTCATTCCCCATTGTTTATAAGCACCGGTACTTTGACCACAGTACAAGGGAAGCAACTCCGAATTTATATTCAAAATGACCACACCCACACATCACCCAACCATACCTCTGCAGCGGTGCTGGCAACAAAACCTTGAGGTTGTTATCACAGCTACAGAGGAAAAGGTGTCTCTCACATTCCTTATTGCCCTTAGACATTCAGACATGATTTGGCCATTGGTTACCCTGAATTTATTGGAATCCAGTGCCTGAAAGATACACAGAAACTAAAGACATTCTGTCTCCAAATGGTTCTAGATAAAACATGCACAATTTATTAAAAGGTATCTATAAATTACATATGATATATAAGGACATAGTTTATCATCTGTGTCCGGAAAAGTATTTGCACACATTTTCCTTTTATAGAAGGGAAAGCCAGTCTTCCAGTGGCTTCCCTGGCTATGCAGAAAATGACCTGCTACTGTGGCCTTTCCAGAAGTTTTACAGATATAACAGAAATATTCTGCTTTAGAAGAAAGCAGAAGACAGTAATTTAATCTGGTGTCTGAAGATTTTTCCTGTACCTCCTCTGCAATGCATGGGCATTAAATGGTAACGGGAATTGCTTAACTTCTTTGTATGTCATCGTGGCTTTGAAATTGTGATGAACTCTCTCCCAGAAGAACCTTCACCAACACACACACTTATACATGCAAAGTATAGTCAATTTCAGGGGAAATCACTCAGATCCATTAAAGATGACCCTTACCTTCCCAAAGACAGTGGTTGTCAGTGAGGCCCTGGAACTATTGGACATTCTGAAGTACAGATACATAAACTATGATTGGGCAGATCATAATGAAATTAAGAATTTCCTGTCCAACGTGTTAAAAAGCAGACTCTAAATTCTAATTACCAGAGAGTTGCATTTAGTATTTGGGGTTGGGCCCAGGAGCATACACTTTAACAATTGCTTAAGTGATTTTGAAGGTAAGTGGTAGACCACACTAAGATGTCATATTAATGTGAGACATATTAATGTAAATAAATGGTAATAGAATTGAGTTGGCTAGAGATTCTTATTCCCCATCTTTCCTTTAATACTTGCCTTATTGGCTGCTTAAAAGAAGTTGATGCTTGTTTCTTCTCCCTATAAATATAGGGAGAAATTAATGTCAGTAATGCCCCAATCTCTGAGGTAATGAGGACTTATCCTAATAGAATTTTGGTAGTGTATTTTCCTAGCTAGTCTCACATAGCACGGATTTGATAATGGGGTTTCCAACAACTTTTAGAAGTAACACTCTTTGTTTTCTGACATACATAATGGGATGCTTTCTCCAAGTATTTATAAACTCTTCACAGAATTCAATTTAAAAACAGCCAGAAAAGACTACATTTTTTTTCCCTGAAAGAAAGGAAAAAGAAAATAATAGTAATTTCCACAATGTCACCTCTTTTCAAGGTTTTCTCAGTTCTAAAGCAAGTATAAGGGAAGTATTAATAAAGCCTTAATTTATTGAAAGGTAAGAGCAGCTCAGTTATATACCTATATGACAATTATAGCATAACATTTAGCAAACAGAGACATAGATGATGTATCTCTCTATATATTAATTGTATAAAGAAAAGTGGGAGCTGTTGTAGATGGAATAGCATTTCAGAGGATAATAGCAGGCCATACAGTCTAGGTTTACAGCCTAGTTCCATAGCTTTGTACGGAAATATGACTTGTCTATCTCACTCTACTCACCTGTAAAATGACATAATAATTAAATCAATTTCTTATGATTGCCTTGAAGGTGATATTGCCTTGAGGTGTAATATGCTAGAAATTCAGAATACAGGTTTTGTGTTTCTTCACAAAATTGCTTAGAACATTTCATTATGAAATGAATACAGTCCTCTCTGACAAATGTTATGATTTTTTTTCTCATATAGTGTTACTTTAAGAAATGCAATTCAATATATACACACTAAGGTCTGTTTTCTAAAAGGTATATTAAAATGTATTCTTTTGAGGTTGAACCTCAAAATTAATACCCATTGATCTTTAAAAATAGCTGGTCAGTAATTCAAGAATATCTCAATTCTGAAAAGCAAAATACAAAATGAGAGCACAAACAGTATTTTAATGTATTTCAAATAGTCTTTAGTGAGTAAATAAAAGTAAAGACTGATCCTAAGAGGCCTTTCTTTGGACTTCTGAGAAAATTTCATTGTTAAATCCTGTTGACATGACCTCAAACTCTGGATAAACTTTTAGAAGCATCTTTCTGGTGTCAAGGGAGAGATCTTATTCATTCAAAATCTAGTCCTATAATGGCTCCTCTTACTCCCCTTAGGAGGCTTGCTTCATCTCTTCACAGGTTAGATTATCATGGATATGTCTCCCAGGAGCACAGTGAATCCTCAGAACCAGCAAGGGGAAATCCAGCAATGCCTCTGAATTGAGTGAGTGCCCTAGGTGGCTCCACTCCCCTTTACCTCTTTATAACAGTGGAATATTCTGTATTCAGGCTTATCTCTTCATTGTACTTCATTATACAAAAAAAAAAAAAAAAAACTCACTGCTGTGCAGTCGTTTGCAACTCATAGCGACCTCTCCTTGGGTTTCCCAGGTGTATCTCTACAGAAATAGATTGCCCAATCTTCCTTCTGAGGAGTGAGTGGTATGTTTGAACCACCAGCCTTCTGGTTAGCAGTCAAATGCCTTAGACACTATGACACCAGAGAGGAAATTAGAAATTCCCCAGAGTTAGGAAGATGTTTTTCTATGCTTTGATATTAAGAATTTGAACTCCAGTGATGTCATGGGAGTTCAGGAATGCCTCCTCTTGATACACCTCTGAGAACAACCTCCAGTTGTACATATGATGGTCTCATTTCAGCATGCCACTGATAAATTGCTTATACTGATTTCACTTCATCTCCGTAGTATGCACCCTTTATGTCCTCTGGTTTTCAAACAATGAGACTTTTAATTGTGTTAAACTTTGTCAGAAAGGTGAGAGAAACAGACCGGAAGGAAGGTTGGGCAATCCTACTTCCGTAGTGATACTGCCTCGGAAACCTAAGGAGGGGTCGCTATGAGTCGGGGCCGACTCGACGGCACGTAACAACAACAACAACAACCATAAGACTGGCATTAGAAAGAGTTGTTAGAGCGACAATGAAACGCAGGTCTGGCCAAGTGACCCCGCCTAGTGCAATGTTGCAAAGGTCTCCCATTGTTTAGGTTAAAGTCCACTCATATAACACGCTCTCTGCATGCTCCTAACCATTAGCATATATATATATATGTATGTATGTATATAGGAGCTCTGGTAGCATAGTGCCTAAAGCATGCCTAAAGCACTTGACTGCTAACCAGAAGGCTGGTGGTTCAAACCCACCAGCCACTCCTTGGAAGGAAGATGGGGCAATCTACTTCCGTAGTGATACTGCCTCAGAAACCCAAGGAGTGGTCACTATGAGTCAGGTCCGATTCAACGGCACATAACAACAACAATGTATGTGTATATATATATATATATATATATATATCTGTATCTATGTATGTATGTAGTTAGGTGCCATTGAGTCAGTTCCAACTCACAGCGACCCCTGTGTATAATACAAGGAACACTGCCTGGTCCTGTGCCGTCCTTACAATCATTGCTATCTTTCAGCCCATTGTTGCAGCCACTGTGTCAATCCATCTCTTTCTTTTCATTGACCTCTACTTTAGTAAGTATGATGTCCTCCAGGGACTGATACCTCCAGATAACATGTCCAAAGTTCATGAGACAAAGTCTCACCATCCTCACTTCTAAGGCGCATTCTGGCTGTACGTCTTCCAACATGGATTTGTTCATTCTTTTGGCAGTCCATGACATGTTCAAGATTCTTCTCCAATGCCATAATTAAAATGCATCAATTCTTCTTTGGTTTTCCTTGTTCATTGTTCAGCTTTTGCATACACATGAAACAATTAAAAAGAATGCTGCTTGGGTCAGGCAATCTTAGTCTTCAAAGTGACAACTTTTGCTTTTTAACTTTAAAGAGGTCTTTTGCAGAAGATTTGCCCAGAACAATATGTCATTTGATTTCTTACTGCTGCTTCAATGGGTGTTGATTGTGGATCCAAGTAAAATGAAATACTTGACAGCTTCAATCCTTTCTCCACTTATCATGATGTTGCTTACTGGTCTAGTTGTGAGATTTTTTGTTTTCTTTATGTTGAGGTGTAATCCCCACTGAAGGCTATAATTTTTTATCTCCATCAGTAAGTGCTTCAAATCCTTTTCACATTTGGCAAGGGAGGTTGTGTTAAAGCATTTCACAGGTTGTTAATTAGTCTTCCTCTGTTCCTGGTGTCATGTTCTTCTTCATATAATCATATACATATATGTGGTTTTGTGTGTGTTTGAATATTAAGTGCTTAATAAATACTTAAGTAAACGAATGAATCTATCTTTCTGCCTATCCTCCACCTGGCCCCATCAACTAGACTTTGCTCTTCCAAAAGACAGGGAGGTTGACTTGATCATCTTGTAGCCTCAGAACCTTGCCCAGTGCTGGGAACATAGTAAGTGTGTAATTCATGTTTATGCAGGGAGGGAGGGAAAAAGAGGGAAGGAGAGGAGAGGACTGCCAATGACTAATAGCAATTGTTCTGTTACAGGTTTACGTTCACTTGGAATGACTATTACCCAGTGTTATGAAGAGGTCGGCCTACTGCTCCTATTTCTGTCTGTGGGAATTTCTATATTTTCAACTGTGGAGTATTTTGCTGAGCAAAGCATTCCTGATACAACCTTCACAAGTGTCCCTTGTGCATGGTGGTGGGCCACAACATCCATGACTACTGTGGGATATGGGGACATTAGACCAGACACCACGACGGGCAAAATCGTGGCTTTCATGTGTATATTATCTGGAATCCTTGTCTTGGCCTTGCCTATTGCTATTATTAACGACCGCTTCTCTGCTTGCTACTTCACCCTGAAACTCAGGGAAGCAGCGGTGAGACAGCGTGAAGCTCTGAAGAAGCTTACCAAGAATATAGCCACTGACTCATATATCAGTGTTAACTTGAGAGATGTCTACGCTCGAAGTATCATGGAGATGCTTCGATTAAAAGGTAGAGAAAGGGCAAGTACTAGGAGCAGCGGAGGAGATGATTTCTGGTTTTGAATTCACTTTCAATTTATTTATTAAGAGCTTATGTAAAATTAACTCCATTGATAAAGGCTTGATATGATGTCTCTATAACTTGATGAGTCTTTTTTGACCACTACCTGTCTTAATTTTTTCTGATATATTCCTTTAGTATATATCGATATGCTAAAGTATTTCACAATCCCCATAACAACTGAAAACAATTTTCCTTGGAAGGTAATTGAATCTATTTTCACATTTGAATCTCACAAATGGTCTTTTAACACAACCAGATATAATTACATCAGTGTATACATTCTTGAGTTTTAAAATATGAAATAACATCATTGCAATACATACAGAAAATTAAAAGGTTTTGCACATCACTAATTTTGTTTTTGCACTGTTAATTTTATATATATATATATATATATATATATATATATATAAGAAGTTACACTGCATAGTGCAGAGTAAAGATAAGTGAACATTTGAGAGCATACTGAACAGCTTTGCTATTTAAAACTATTCATCAAGGAAATAAATTATTCCCTATCGGTTAACATTGTAGAATAAACCAACTAGCTTTGCACAGGGAAAACCCAGATTTAATGTTCATAGATTTTGCCCCTATCTGCCATCTGTGAAAATCCTGGTTACAAATAGATGAAAAAAGAACTCTGAATCCCATCATCACGAATGGAGGTGGAAATCCCAAAACTACTAAGACTGTCATAGATGAGTACTGCACACAAGCTCTGAAGAATCAGACACCACTCTCCCCACAAGAAGCCCTGGTGGGCCAAGGTTAAGCATTCAGCTGTTAACCAAAACGTTGGTGATTCAAACCCTCCCAGAAGCTCCACGAGAGAAAAACCAAGTGATCTTCTCCCATAAAGATGACAGCCTAGAAAATGCTATGACACAGTTCTACACTCAGTCACACTATGAGTCAAAATCAACTTGATGGCACCTAACAACAAGGACCTTCTCTCCACTGGGTCCATTATGTGCAGCGTATCGCTCAGTTCTCCGTGGAAATCAGATGCTCTATAAATGTCTGTTTATGGATGTACTGTACAAGTTACATTTAACATCATACATATATAAAGATAAAAAGTGAACATTCTAGATTTACTGCTAAATATACATCATTATTGCACAAAATAGCAGATATTTTATTTTCATAAATGTGTAAGGTTGGATAACGAGATAGTAAGTGAGGAGTAGGTGCACTGATATTATTTAATAAACTTACTTCATTGAAGGAGAATGTTAGGTTGATTGGCATCACTAGATGAACTTTAAGATCTTTTTAGCAACAACAAAAAATATTATGGACAGCTTTTTGACTGTTGGGGGTAAATACTGAATGTTCCAACTTTGTAGGCATTTGACAGCGTTTTGACATTCCTTCATAATATGATAAAAACCCTAGACATTCTGTTACATAATTAAAGCCAAAAGCTATAAAGCTAGGAACTAGTTTATCATGCCCAATACGCTAGTAATGAGATTTTAAAAACAGAACAAAAAAGAATGTACATCAATGCATGTATTCTCAATGAGGGCAATGTTGCCTCAATAAGGGCAAAAATTGGTTCTTGGTAGGGGGGTGCTTGATTTATGTATAAAGCATAGTTGTTCATACAGTACATATACAGATGTAATGTGCCTGTAGTGCTCAAATTGCATCAGGTGGCCAGTTAGGAAAAGATATCAGAAAGATTCCTTGGGAGAATGGTAAAATAAACAAATAAACATTGGGAAACATTGCTTTAGTACATGACTATATTATATTACAGGAGCTCTGATGGCATAGTGCCTAAGGCACTTGACTGCTAATCAGAAGGCTGGCGGTTCAAACCCACCAGCCACTCCTCAGAAGGAATATGGGGCAATCTACTTCCATAGTGATACCGCCTTGGAAACCCAAGGAGGGGTCTCTATGAGTCGGGGCCAACTCGATGGCACATAACAACAACAACATATTATATTACATCAATTGTATTCCAAGTTACCTTATTATATTAAGAGCTTCCAAGAAAGAAAATTATCAATTAGTTGTAAGATGTCATTGATTGTAAAATGCATACAGATTTGATATGTAAAAAAAATTTTAAATGCCACTTAAAATCAATGATATTCCATATGCACTACCTCTACTTTTCTCATATGCATGCTTAACCTCTGAAAACGTTTTTATTGACAGCATGAATTTTAGACTGTAAGCTAAAGTAGTTAAAACCAGTTGGCTTGTTTCCAGATCTCCTAAATATTAGGAAAGATTTGGAAAAGGTAAGTTGTAATAAAATAAATATTTTCCATCTTATACATATTCACAAGTGCCAGAGTGTGGCATTCTAAAAAGTGGAAGTCCCTCAACAAGATGATTTGACACAATGGCTGCCATGGTGGATTCAGGTAAGCAAGGATTATGAGGTTGGTGCAGGACCAGGCAGTGTTTCATTCTGTTGTATATAGGGTTGCTGTGAGAAAGAGCCTACTCGACGGCACCTAACAACAACAACAAAAGAGCATGGCACAGTCACTTGTCAGTATAAATCCCACCCACAGCCTGGCGGGGAAGTAGAGGTTAGACACAGAAGGCATACTTACCCTGGCTTCTCTAGAAGTTTCCCCAACAAGAATAATTATGTACTCTGATCATCACTGTACTCTGTACTCAACAAGCATTATTTTATCTTCAAAATATCCCTACTATACAATAATTATACATTTACAGAGATATATTTTATGTATTATTCATTCAACCAATAATTATTCAGCACACTTATGTATGCTGTGTGCTAGACAATCTTTGTCAAATAAGATGAAGCCCTCTTATGGCTAATTTTCTAGTTAGGGGTGTGTGTGAGGTCAGGGCTAGCGGTGGAGAGGGTAGAGACCAATGAAAAACTGAGGCACTAAAAAATGAAGAAACTTGTCCAACTTCTCACAGCCAATAGGTGGCATAACCAGACTGAACTACAATCTGCATGACCCTGAAACTGATACTCCTGAAAGCTTTATTGCAGATCTTGTTACTCCCACATAACCTGTGTAAAGGAATTCACAAGCTGACTTGTAGGTGGAGAGGTTTACTATGACAATGCAATGCAGTGGAATTATAATGTATTGGATGCACAAAGAGAACTTGAGGGCAGATGTCTCAGTTCAGCATGTCAATGTGGAATTCTTCCTCTGTCACTAAAACCTTTTGACTAACTCTTGCATATGCTGGCCCAAGTTGGTTAAGCAAAACATTATCAGGTAAGCTCAACACTTTGACAAATAATTCCACTTAAAATTTTTAAATGCCACTTAAAATCAATGATGCTTTGTTAACATGAAAAGCCTTATTCTGTTGCGATAGTAGCATTAATATCTTTATCTTATCAATTCTTCAATTCAGATCCAAGAGATATCCGTTGGCAAATGATGAATTCTAGTGCTTCACTTTGTAATGTTTCTTTTCAAAGAATCTCCACCTTCAAACTTTTCTCCAAGTGAACATGATATATGGAAGAAAAATGGCAGATAACCCCATTGGTAACTGAAGTGCTCAATCGGAGGTAAATGCTCAGTTCTTTTCCTCTCTGTCTCCATAGTTCCATTGGTGAAACATCCAGTTCCATGACTTAAATACCATCATTACTTGGTCAACCCTCAAATATGTGTCTCCAGACAAAACCTCTCCCTTCTCCTACATCTTCAGGTTTATGTATGCAACTTCCTACTCAACATATATACTTGGATGTCTAATAAACATCTTGCAATTTGCAGATCAACTACTAAATTACTATTTCGTTAGACTTTATGTTAATTCAAGCCCTCTAGAAGCAGATGACAAGATGAGATTAGATGTTCTTGAAACTTATTGGGGGAAAAGGCATGTGAAGAATAAAGAAGAGGAAACCACAAAAGGTGGGGAGAACCTTCAGAAAATGACACAAATCTTAAGCTGTGAAGGAAAGGGAGAAGAAAGGAGGATTGACAGGAAGAATCTCTGACATAACTCAGTTCTAAGAAAATTCAACCAAGTCAATGAAAACTCCTTAAGTAAAAGTAGCCATTAATGAGACCCATATCTCCTAGAAATTGAGCATCATCACTGGCTGGAAATAGCCCTTGGAAAGCATAACTCTGGTAGCATAGTGCCTAAGGCACTTGACTGCTAACCAGGAGGCTGGCGGTTCAAACTCACCAGCCACTCCTCAGAAGGAAGGTTGGGCAATCTACTTCCGTAGTGATACTGCCTTGGAAACCCAAGGAGGGGTCACTATGAGTCAGCTGCAACTCGATAGCAAACAACAACAAGAAACAATATTTCCCAGAAACTGGGCATCATCACTGGCTGGAAATAGCCCTTGGAAAGCATAACTCCGGCATGAATGTGGTAGTAGAACTGGAAGAGCAACAGCCAAGGCATGATTAGTTAATTATGCAGTTCTTAGCAGGTAATCTGAGTAATGCATATTCACGACCACTACAGTCTGATCATTGTACTGCACAAGTCCACTTCTCCATGTACATTCAAGAGCAGCTCCTCAATGGAACCCAATGGCCTCTCTTTTCTATGGAGAAACTTAGAAGAGGGTATTAGTGGGATGAAACTGAGTACTCATTGGTGCAATTGGTCTTAAGATAGCAACTAAAAAAAGTACCAAACTCAATGCCAACTCATAGCAACCCTTCTTTGGGTTCCCAAGGCAGTATCTCTATGAAAGAAGATTGCCCAATCTTCCTTCCAAGGAGTGCCTGGTAGGTTTGAACTGCCAGCCTTTTGGTTAGCAGTCGGATGCCTTAGGCACTCCAGAACCAGATCTTCTCCCTCCTCCAGAACCCATAGCATCCCATCAAAGTACATTATCTCCACCCACTATACCTTAACATCCTAATAGAGTTTATAAAGATTATTCTAGTCTGACAATGGTAGTCTCAGGGAATCATTTCACACACTGGAAACACTTTAATCATTATCATGTACTGAAGCACGCCATAATTAGTTACGATATATAGAATTGTCATTGCTATGCTATTTACTTTTATTCTTGATCAAAGAAATAGCAGGAATAAAATTGTATTTCAATGCAATCTAAATCTCA